GCTTTTTCAGACCGATGAGCTTTGTAAAAATCGACGTGTTTCAGAAAGGCGGGGCATAGAGGAGAAACAATAATGTACAGTATGTGGAAAATAATGTGTTTTTTTTAACCTTAAACCGCATAAACACATTTCATTACACCAAATACACAAAATAATGTTCTTTTTAGCAACATCATATGACCCCTTTAAATTCAAAAACGTAGTTTGTTTAGTACATGCTCTTGAAAAGTTTTCATAGCTATTTTGAACAAAATGTTCAAATGAAAGTGTTAAGAGTAGTCTAACTCATGTCAGGCTTGAGCCATGATGCCATATGATCATCTGTTTTATTGATACTCCTTGGAGGGTATCTATGGTTTGAACCCTTCCATGGTCTATAGCAGGGGTGGCGAACGTCGGTCCTGGAGAGCCGCAGCCCTGCAGAGTTTCGCTTCAACCCTAATCAAACACACCTGAACAAGCTAATCAAGGTCTGAAGGGTTACTAGAAAGCTACAGGCAGGTGTGTTTTAATTAGGGTTGGAGCTGAACTCTGCAGGGCTGCGACTCTCCAGGACCGGAGTTCGCCACCCCTGGTCTATAGCCTCATCCATTTTTAAAGAGCGGCCCACGCTGGGGTCCGATTGTTCTGTCTGTTCCTCTGTAGGGTCATTTCTGATTGGCAGTCCCTACTGTAAACCGTTCACTGGATTTAGACTATACCGCCTTTCACCCTCTCAATGCTGTCATTATGTCCAGTTGCTATGGTGACTGACTACACGTTTTAGGATTGAGCAGGTTTATAAGAGTAGACGACAAGCTGTTGTTTGTTAATTGCCGTCTCTCTCTCTCTGATGCATAAGTAGGCTACATTCGGTAATGACAGAATGGAGAGCAGTTGACTTTGCTTTTACACTGTTCTCATTGGTAAACTCTTGTGTTAACTTGGTGTGAGAGCAAACCTTGTTGTCCTGGAGTAGTTAGTATGGACATAGCTAGTCTAAACGACTCAACAGCAATGTTTGTTTGTGGATTGCTTTTCTTTGTGTAGTTTTAATCGGGTTAAAAGACTTTACTTGCAACTTCTTATCCTTGATAATGGAGGTTGTGAGAGCAAACCTTGTTGTCCTGGAGTAGTTAATATGGACATAGCTAGTCTAAACGACTCAACAGCAATGTTTGTTTGTGGATTGCTTTTCTTTGTGTAGTTTTAATCGGGTTAAAAGACTTTACTTGCAACTTCTTATCCTTGATAATGGAGGTAAGTTGATTTGGTAGATTAGTAATGTTTTTGAATGTTTTTTTTTTCTGTCGCTTCTTTTCTATTATTCTACAATAATGTTTAATTACTCTGTCTCAAAAAGAAATTATGCATTTAGGACAGAAATGATCTGAACTGAGGCTTAAAAGCCTGTAGAATAGCAAGATATTTTATGTAAAGTTTAAGTAAACTAACATAAACGTGAACATTAAGTTGTTTTATGTAAAGGTTTTATAACTGTGATATTTTACATAAATGTTTAGATATAACGTTTCAGAATACGAAATTTCACGTAAACTTTTAAGTGTTAAGTTTCAGAACAGCAAGATATTTTATGTAAAGTTTTAAATGTACATTTTTAGAATTGCTTTATATGTTATCTTAAGTTTTAGGAACAGCTACATATTTTACATAAATTTTTAGATGCAATGTTTTAAAACAACAAGATATTTAACACACTTTTGGAACAGCAACATATTTTATGTAACGCTTTAGAACAGCAATATATTTTACGTAAACATTTAGATGTAAAATTTCAAAGCAGCAAGATATTTTATGTCGAGTTTTTGAACAGCTGAATATTTTACGTAAGCTTTGAGGTGTATTGTTTTACAACGGCAATAAAATTTACAGTTTTATTTACAGTTTATTTGTAGATTTCTGGTGTGTTTTATTTTCTCTTGAAAATAAACTATTAACAAAATGTATTATATATATATATATATATATATATATATCTGAAATATAATGTGTAATTCCAAAAGTAAAATAAAATGGATTTGTTTTCTCCAAAACTAAGTAATGAAATAAAATTAAAATGGCCAAAAATTCATTTTAATTCTAGGTTTTCATTCTAGGTGAATTATAAAGTTGAATGTCTACAACCCACTTAAATTAAAAATGCAAAAATGCTTCTAGATAACACTGAAAATCTAATTTCTGGCCCTGAAAAAATGCAGTTAAATATGTTTCAATTACATCAACTTTTGCATCCCTACAATACTAAACAATTACTAAAACTAAACTAAAACTAAAAAACAACAAAATAAACTAAACTGAAAGGACAAATTGTAAATAAAATAAAAATGTTAAATAATTTGCTATTGTTTTATAATTTAGTTGATGATGAAGATGATGATTATTATTATTATTATTGACAGTTTTATTTACAGTTTATTTGTAGATTTCTGGTGTTTGTTTTATTTTCTCTTGAAAATAAACTATTAACAAAATCCCCTCAACGTTCCTTGTGTTTGAGTAGTTTATTTTTACGTGTTAATTATTTTAAATATCTAGAATGTACGGAGTAGAACAGTGCAGAATCCGCATTTCTCATTTGTTTTCATTGAAGGCGTTTTGATGGCACAGTCTCTGAGTATTTGTAATATGGATTATTTGATTCAATTTCTAGGACTCCAAGTTGCCGATGGCCTTAAGGAGTAACTTAATGGACCTGTTCGGACAGATTGAACGGGAGTTTGAAAATCTCTACATTGAAAACTTAGATTGTGAGTAGGAACCAATTAGCTTCCGCCATATTTAATATCCTTTTTGCATGACTGGACTCTGTTTACATGACTTACTATATTTAATGTCATGATGACATCACAGTCTTTGCACATGAAGAACTGGTTTTATGCATCTTATGCTTACTAAGTGGCTTTTACACTCACAGCATTCTCAAGATCTGAATCCTTAATTGTTTTCGGTATTACGGTTAATTATATACTTATTAATAAGTGTATCATTTAAATTGTAAGTTGCCATGTAATAAGCAGGATTAATGTCCAGTCATTATCGAGGTTTAAACTCCTTCAGGTTGATGTTTGTGTGTCCTCATCAAACTGTTGGGTTTATTTGAATGTACATTATCCCTTACATAGGGTGTAAATGTGACAAAATCAGTGTTTTGTTCGGTTTATCAGCGGACCTATCATAAGCTCTGTTCTCGTGCAGTGCGCAGAGAGATTGATTCGCTAAACGAACGTTTGGCTGGAGAAGGACAGACAGTCGATGGTGGCGATCTGAGCAAAGGAGCCCTGAAAACAAAAGGTACATGCAAAACAAAACTGACATTTAGACCATTGAACAAGCTTTTGGATAAATAATGACGTTGTATTTTGATGATTCAGAGAGAATAATTTTATAACGTTGTGCCTAAAGCGGTGTCCTCACATGACATGATGATATTTGAAGCTGTTTGTGGACACCTTCTTCTGATTAAGGGTTTTGACTATTTCAGCTACACCCATTACAAACAGGAGCATAAAATCATATCGCCAAATAATCTCCTTAGACAAACATTTACAGTAGAATGGGGCCCTTTTTGTTTCAGCTTGACAATGCTCCATAAAAATGGATTTCTAATCTGGTCTGGTGTGGAAGAAATTGAAAACTTTAAACCTAACTATGAAATGTATAATTGATCTTTTTCATATGTTTCACTCATAATCGTATCATTTCTTGTGCACAGCTAGTCACAGCACAAGTCAGCTGTCCCAGAAGCTGAAGACGACATACAAGGCCTCCACTAGCAAGGTATGATTGTATCTATGGGGTTGTATCTGTGGAGTAAAACTCTGTTACCGTTGTTCAAGCTCAGAATATTTCTCTCGGAATCACTAATCTCTATAAAAAACATAACATCTCAGTGCAAAGTCCTGTTGTTTGTAGTCGGCTTACAGACTTTGCTGCTTAACATATGTAGATACTTTAGAAGTGAACAAGCTAGGGTTGTCACAATACCGAAGTGTTACCGATACCAGTGAAATCTGATGATTAAAACCAAAAGAGTTCCATTATTGGCACTCCTTTGTTTAGTTTTCACAATTATTAAAGGGCCAGTTCACCCAAAACGAGAATTCATCTTTTACTCACCCTCATTACCAATTTTGGGTTCTTAGACTTTCAAAGGAGGGACAGAAATCTCTCAGGATTCATTGATATCTTAATTTGTGTTTCGAGATTAACCAAAGTCGTATGGGTTTGGAATTAAATGAGGAGTAAATTATGATAGAATTGTCATTTTTTGGTTAAATTATCTCTGGAAGAAATTGAATTAAAATAACGGCATGTACCATAATGGCATGCAACTGGCATGGAATTGCAATAAAACGATTGAGAAATTTTGTGTAATTGACACTATTGAATAACTGGTAAAATGGTATCTTTTCAGTTTTGTTATTGACTTCTGTGTGACATCTCTAGAGCAGGTTTAGGTGGTTATGTAAGCGTCTGTGTTTTGTTTCAGTGTTGCATTTTCGTAGTGCTGAATTGTTTGCTCTGTTTGTTCAGTTAAACAAACTACCTCCAGTTTCACATACACTTTTCATGCAGTTACGTATTTATCATACTATATGTAAAAATATGCAAAATATCTCATGCATTGATCTGACAGTGACGGTTCAATGCATCAGTTACGGAATTTCACAATGTATTATAATATGTAACGCCCAGTTTATTACACATTCCTTTGTTACTTAAAACTCATTTCTTGACTTTCTTGATGTTTTCACCAAATCCAGATTGCACCACTTCTGACACATTTTTCATACTTCATTACATTTGTGTGATTCAAAATAGTGTCTTGTACCAAAATACTTGAACTGTGCTCAGATTGTAGGTTTCCCAGTGCATCTCATGTACAAAATCATAAATTAAATACAATGCAAAAAATGATTAACTAGTATCTGTGTACAGCGTTAGCAGCTCAGCAGCAGCTTATTTATTTATTTATTTTGCTGTGTAGTTACCATATTAAATGGTTACACCCCTAATCTTTAGTGTTCTTACCCAAAGAAACCTATTTAGGCATTTAGAACACTGATGATTTCAAATGTCATAATTTTCTCAACTTTCCACATGAGGGCCTTTCGCACCGCGGGAACCTTTTCATAGAACCAGAACTAATTGTGGAACTACCCACTTTTTGGCGTTTTCGCACCGCCGGAACTGGGTGCGATTTTAGTACCGGACTGCCTTTTTCGAGAGCCAAATTAGCTCCTACTCCGGAGCAGGGTCTAACCAGCACAACTGGTACTAATCGCGACGCAAGTAGACATTGATTGGCCAAACGCGTATGAAAACGCCCTC